GACAAAGAAAGGGGAAAGAGTGTGTAGAATAAGAGAAGAGACGTGAGTTGTTAACATTTTTGCAGTAGTAACTGACTAGCTTTGAGTTGTTGGACACATTTGTTTAATCTGCATATAACCATAGTTGTTCTATTTAATATGACTAGCTGAACTTTTCTAGTAGAATAAGGCTTTTTGTTGTTGTTGTTGTTGATTTGTTTTTAATCTGCATGTATATAGATAAAATTCTTGTTCAGATTTAGGTTGACTTGATCTCAACTAACTTGTGAATGTTAAGGCTTGTCACTTGGATTGGATTTGACCTCTAACGTTGGAGGCAGAAGAAGAAAAGGTTATGGCCTGGTTGTGAGGGCAGGGAAGGCTGCTCTTTGTCAAACTAAGAGAAACAGATCAAGAAAATCATTGGCACGCACCCATGGTTTCCGCAAAAGAATGAGCACACCAGGTGGAAGAAATGTTTTAAGGAGACGACGTGCCAAGGGACGGAAAATCCTTTGCACCAAGTCCCACCCAAATAGTGGAAAATAGGGCTTGCAAATGTTCTATTTCAGCGGCTTCATGTATTGATTCCTCCAAACTTGTCTGCATTTCAAGTTTTTTATTTTTCCCCTAACACTGGTTTTTCTGTATCCTTTATATTTAAAAAATTTAGGCTTACTTTTTGTTCGTGTCATCTATAATTCTTGCTATGTTGCATCTAGATTTGCTTCAAAGATGTTTACTTTACTACAAATCGAATGATTCGAATCACAAATCAGACTTGATGGAATTGGTTTTGCAAGTAATTGCTCTTATGCTATGTTGACCACTGATCATTTTCTTTTGATTTTTTTTAATAAAACTGTTGAGGGCACACTATGTGATTGAGTATATTTCGTGGATTGATATTTTCTTCTTTACTCAAACATTTTAAACTGCTTGTTTGTTAGAACGGATTTTTCATTTGGCTCTTGTGGCAATGTGGCATTACCTGTTGTGCACAATGTCAAATAGCCCCCTTTACATTAATGGGTTATGGGTGCATTTGACAAGATACTTTTAGTCTTTCAACCATGTATGCTCAATGGAATGTTTAAACCATGTGTTTCTTTTAGGGTCTGTTTGCATGATGGTAAACTATATTTGAAGGTACAACTTTGTTTGATTCAGTATCTTATGAAATCAAGTTAGATGTTAGCTTTCAACAAGTGGTACAATGGCATCGTATCGAATATCGATGTTGTTTGAGTGTGTGACATCGATACATGTGGGATACGTCTAGAAGTGTATAGTCTGAGTATTTTCTAATTGTTTATTTAAGTTTATTAATTGATCTGTTTGAGATGACTCCGATGCTGCTGTTTACCACACGAAAACAATTTAATCATACAATACTACGATGGATGTTTTAACAGCGGAGCCAATGTAATCGACAAGCTTAGAAAACTGAGGTGAGTTGTCTATGTGCACCTCCTTATCTAGTGGAATTACTCCCCCGAGTCTTGTGAAAAAAATTTAAATCGATCTGAATTGCTATGTGATTGATTTGATTTATATTAAAAAATTTGATTTATTTTGAAAAAAATTTAAATTGATCTTTTTTACAAAATTAATTTTGTTATCTTATTTATTTTTATAAAATAAATCGATTTAATTTGATTTGATTCATCTTTTTTAAAAAATATTGATCTATACATGAATAAAAATTAGATAATTGTACATTATGGAACTGATCTAATTTTAAAAAAATATATACATATTTTAAAAAAATTGAACTGATTCATTTTTATTAAAAATGAATTTGATTCGATTTAAATTTTTCAAAAATTTTATCCATCAACACTTATCATACTAAAGTCTTTATTGTTGAACAAATTGATATATGGAGTTGATTTTATAAGAGTCTCAGACTAGGGTTAAAAGCAAAATAACATTTATATATAACCAAGTTTGATTAATCAATCAAATTTAATTATTCGTAAAAAGCAGGATTCATTTATGATTTTGATACATGAAAGAAAATTCTTTCTACCAAAAGCTTCTTAAAAGTTAAGTTTTAACAACTTTGTTCTAGGAGTAGTCATATACTCATATTAATGATAATTTTAATATATTTAGTGATAATTAATTAATTAATTTTAATCCGTCAAATAAATTGTTTGACTTGATTAATTTAATTTCAGTATTAATTATATATAAAAATCATTAACATTGTTGTTTTTATACATATTTTTCCCTCGATAAATAGTAAAACACATTTTTTCCCAAACACGTATACGTAGTAGAATATACACGCACATTGATAACGAGCGTATGACGTCAGGCCTACCTATACTGAAATAATAGTTTATCTTTTCCTAAATTCCGGTGGTTTTTTTGGCCCATTGTACACACCGGTGGTTGACTTTTTTAAAACGTATTCCTGTTTGTTATGAGGACAAGGAATTAAAAATTGGGCATTACTACTAAACCTTTTAACTAAACCCTCTATTAAAAAAAGATTTTCGTACTATTGATCATGTGTAATTTATGTGTATTTATGTGTTATTATTTAAAATTTGTTATTTTTAATTTTTTATTTATTTAAAATTCAAATTAGTTAAATGGTTAACTTAAGTTTTTTTTAATTTTTTTTTCGTATCTTTTTGCATCTTTCTCGCTTCGTGAAAATATAAGAGAAAATGAAAACAGAATGGTCAGGCGTCCCAAAGGCCACACTTCTGGCTCCAAAAACAAATTCAAACCGCCGCTCGTTATAACCTGGGAGCCTGAGCCCGCTATAACCCCTTTTATTTTAGAAATTTTGGGTGAGAGCGACGTGGTCGAGGCCCTGGCCCGGTTCAGCCGCAGAAAGAACACGGGCCTATGCGTCCTCTCTAGTTCGGGAACTGTCGCCAACGTCACTCTCCGTCAACCCTCCGTCAACCCTCCGTCACCCTGGCGCCACCATCACTTTCCACGGTCACTTTGATGTCCTCTCCCTCTCCGCCACACTCCTCCTTCACGCTTCGCCGGCAATCGCATTTTCCGCCTTCGTCGTCTCACTTGCTGGCCCGCAGGGCTAGATTGTCGGTGAGAAAGAATCAGGAAGAAAGGGAAGAAACATGAAGCCAGAAAGAAGCAGGAAAGATACAGAAATTTTTTTTTTAAAAAACGTGAACGTTAACCATATAACTGACGTGAATTTTAAATAAAAAAGATTAAAATTGACATAGACTTTAAATAATGATACATAAATACACATCAGCAACACATCATAACACATCATTAACGGTACTGTACCCTCCAAATCCCCAATTGACCGAATTGGCCGAGTAAAGACTCTTTGCACTTTTAACAATTAAGCATGGAGGGTCACGTACCTTCCAACTCTCCATCCGACCGAGCAGGTCGAATTCAAGATCACTCACGGATTTTCTAAGACTGATTAAGGCAGTAATTTCCATGATTCTCGCACATATTTGATTACGGTTATAAATGTGATTTATAAGCTCATTATGAGAAATAAAATGAAGGCTTATTTCAAGGGATTGGGATGGGAGAAAAATATTCGTATCCTTAAATATGACACCCATATATATAAAGGAAGAATGGTTTTACTAATGTGAGGTTACACTCATCAAATGTTCTAGGTTAGGACGGCGGCTAGGTTCTCTTAGGGTTTACATCGCTAAGGGTTCTCCGGCTGCTATCCTCTTGCTGGAACATTTTGGCGCCCACCGTGGGGCCTCGGGAAAACTCTTCCCACGACCATTACAACTTCAACCCACGACCACGTGGTTAAAAGCCAATTCTGCCATTAGACGTCGGACACGTAAGAGGTTTATTCCTTTTGATTTATTTTTATCCTGATTCTCCTCTCTCCCCCCTCTTGTGTCGTGTTCTCAATTACTTCTTCCCTTTCTCTTTTTTTTCTTCTTTAATTTGCACCGTGAATTCTTTTATATTATATTATGTTATATGTATAAATTGCTATTGTTTCAAAAATTGAATCAACTGAATGATAAACGATTAACAACTCTTAGCGCCGAAGACGCGTTTTAAGGTCGACTAAATTCTGATTTAATGACTTCACCAGCATACACCCTTAGCGCCTAAAACGCGTTTTAAGGTCGACTAAATTCCGATTTAACGACTTCACCAACATACACCCTTAATGCCGAAGACGCGTTTTAAGGTCGACTAAATTCCGATTTAATGACTTCACCAGCATACACCCTTAGCGCTGAAAACGCGTTTTAAGGTCAACTAAATTCCAAGTTAACGACTTCACCAACATACACCCTTAGCACCGAAGACGCGTTTTAAGGTCGACTAAATTCCGATTTAACGACTTCACCAACATACACCCTTAGCGCCGAAGACGCGTTTTAAGGTCGACTAAATTCCGATTTAATGACTTCACCAGCATACACCCTTAGCGCTGAAAACGCGTTTTAAGGTCAACTAAATTCCAAGTTAACGACTTCACCAACATACACCCTTAGCGCCGAAGACGCGTTTTAAGGTCGACTAAATTCTGATTTAATAACTTCACCAGCATACACCCTTAGGGCCTAAAACGCGTTTTAAGGTCGACTAAATTCCGATTTATCGACTTCACTAGCATACACTTGGTAATTAGTTGTTCAATAAAAACGATTTTCTTGTGAGCAATTACTAATTCGACAATGTAAAAACATGAATTTGGTATAACAAGTGAAACTCGTTGCACTTTAGTGCTCGAGCCTGGAGGGCTATATATCGTCAGACTCTCCAACCGATTAAACTGGCCAACTCGAGACTCTTCGCGCCCTTGACGCTCGAGCCTGGAGGGCTGTGTACCCTCCAAATCCCCAATTGACCGAATTGACCGAGTAAAGACTCTTTGCACTTTTAACAATTAAGCATGGAGGGTCACGTATCTTCCAACTCTCCATCCGACCGAGCAGGTCGAATTCAAGATCACTCACGGATTTTCTAAGACTGATTAAGGCAGTAATTTCCATGATTCTCGCACATATTTGATTACGGTTATAAATGTGATTTATAAGCTCATTATGAGAAATAAAATGAAGGCTTATTTCAAGGGATTGAGATGAGAGAAAAAGATTCGTATCCTTAAATATGACACCCATATATATAAAGGAAGAATGGTTTTACTAATGTGAGGTTACACTCATCAAATGTTCTAGGTTAGGACGGCGGCTAGGTTCTCTTAGGGTTTACATCGCTAAGGGTTCTCCGGCTGCTATCCTCTTGCTGGAACAGGTACCAAAACCCTTCAATAATTAAAGGTACCATAGAAATTCTCTTAAAAAGTTTTATATTTCAAGTTTATATATTTTTTCCCCAAATCCTAAATTTTCTAGTAGTTACTAACAGTTTGGTGATTTCATCTTTATGCCTCCCAACTCAACCAACCAACCAACATTCCCATACGGCCTCACTTACCACGATTGTAAGTCTGTAACCCCACCAATCTTCTAATATAGTATTAATTTGTATACATAATTTATTACAATGTTATTTATATATTATAAACATTTAGCCTATAAAACTCACGAACTAAAATTCTAATACAAGTGTAGCGTTAGTTCATGTAAAATGCAGATTTATTGTTAAAATAAACACATTTTACTAAAGTAGAAGTTTCCCAAGCCTCTTAGAAGACTAAACTTTATAAATATAAAAAAAAAATTAAATGTTAATATCACTAACTAAAAGTAAATAAGTGTTTTAAGAAAGTAGACTTTTAATCAGAGTCATTCCTACAAAATTAACTTATAATTAAAATACCTCTTACATAAAATACTTATGATCGAAGTTCATGAAGTTCAATTAT